AATAAGAAATTTCTCTAACCTCTGAATATTTCTCTGTCTATGTGTCTGATGTAGACGTTGTACAACCTCTCTACAATCATAGATCTCTACTTCTGATTTATCACTAGTTAATTGTTGTACATCAGATTCAAATTCAGTACCGGTCTCAATCATTGCGACATCAGATTTCTACAAATATAAAACACATACACTAGAACCAGTGATCTCATTCCACTCAAATTCACCAATCTTGACTACATAAGGTTTAGTTGACTCACTCGCTTTGAAATTAACTGCCTGAGAATATACCTGTCAGGCAATTTACATGCTGTAAAATTAGAATTTCAAATTTATATGAGAAAAAACACTTTCAAGGAGTTAAATCGCTATATTTTGGCACCTAGAAATGGACACAAATGGGTCGCAACGCATATAATAATGTATTACGAATGTATATGAACTGATTCACATTCAATCGTTTGTTTTTACTGTAATTTCTAATCAGTTATGTTCAGCGCAACACGCAAACGCAAAAAGTTCAAATTGAATGGCGGTCTTTGGTGTCTGGTTATTCCAGTCTACACTGGTAGTATTTTCTGGTCGGGTATGTTTAGCCTCATTCATCGAGTCGCTTCATTACAAATGGCGCTTAAAGGCATTCTGGCACGGGATTCGTGTGTCAATTTTAAAAATTTTCATTTTGTCTTAAATATTGGATATGAGAAGCCCAACCTCTTCACGGTAAGATAACAACATCAATGATCATGTGACTACAATGTCGAAGACAGTGGATGATATTGAGTTACCGATTTGCCTTCTTTAAATAATATAACATTGACTAAGTATTTTGATCTGAAATTTTCAGGCAAGTAAATGGACTATTCCGTCTCATTTTTGCATTCAACTATAATAAACTTGAATAAAACCTCTATAGGGTCCACAAGCTGAAAACGCGATTTTTCGTACAATCAGGGGCCATAATTCAGGAAGTTACGGTCCTATACGCGCGAATGTCGAAAGGAACCGAGATCTTTCGGTTATAAGCATACATTTCAAGTTTAAACCAAATCGGATAAAAATTGTGACCTCTACAGTGTTCACAAGCTAAAAACGTGATTTTTCGTACAATCAGGGGCCATAATCCATGAAGTTACAGTCCGATACATGCCAATATCGAAAGGAACGGAGATCTTAGGGTGATAAACCTATATTTCAAGTTTCATTGAAATCGGATAAAAATTGTGACCTGTAGACTGTTCACAAACAATTGTGGACGGACGGACAGGGGTGACGACAATCTGGACGTATAAAAAAATTAGAATTTAAAAAACAAACCTGTGATTCTTCTTCTTTTAATTTTGAAATATTTTCATCACTGGTAGACGCGCCTGGTTCTTTACTGTCTTCTACTTCTATAGTTTCGCTTGGTTTATCCTGGAACTGCTTCGACGTACCCGGAACAGCACCATCGTCACTCGGACACACATGATGTGACTGCATCATAGCTCTACGTAACATAGCTTGATGTGCTTTATGTTTCATCGCCTGCTGAGTATTGAATCGATGAAGATGTTTGATTTCTGGATCCTCTACATCAAAATCGGAACTTTCATCTGTTTGTTCACACGCATGCCTGAAACTAGCCATATCGGCTTCTTCCTCGAGATCCTTCTCATCTTCTGAATCGATAAATTCCGATTCTCCCTCTTCTAAATCTTCGTCATGACAATGTCCGCAATCTTCCATGCACGATTCCTCACTCTGTGTATCACCTTCATGTCCATTCCCATCATTCCTCACTAGCCTCATGACCGTAACTTTCCGTAAGCGCTTTTTACCTTTTCGTTTTTCTTTTGGCTTTCCGCCATTTTCACTGGAGTCTGATCCTTCAACATCACTTTCACTTTCTTCAACTAATTTCACCTTCGACTCGAGTCTAAATTTAGCGTTTTTATGATGTAACTCCACCTCCGATTCCTCTCCTCCGCTATCCTCACTTCCGACGCTTAGATCGCTATTACCATCCATACTACTGTCCGACTCACCCGTGTCCGGTTTCGTGTGATGGATATGATGATGAGGACAACACTCGCCTAACTCAAGTTCTTCCGAGTTCAAGGCATTACAACACTATATATAAAATAAAGCAACAAAATAAAGGTGAAAAGTAATCAGGAATATTCAATAAAATCTTATAATTAAACATACATTATGCAAGAGCTAAATCTGTCTATTGCAGGTCTTTCTTTAGGCCTGAAATGTTATCTAAAATATTAATCCAGACCATAATCAACTCTAGATGGCATCGCTAGCCTGCGATTTTTAGTGGATTATCAGATGCATAACTTTCCATCACGATTTAACGATGAAATGGATAATAGAGACTATGTTGTTTATCGAACTGACTTTAGTAATGATGATCGAGGCTGGGCAGAAATTTCAATCGCTTAGTTGGACAGACGGCCTTACTCCTTGTCACGTACAACAGGGGATTCGAAACCTACCTGTTTAGGGTTAATATTTCTAGATTTAGTTCCACCATCAGATTCTTCACTACTACTCACAGAATGTTTGCCATGTTTACCTGGTGGTAAAAAACAAGGTATTATAATCTGAATATTATGCAATAAAATGTTTCATCAACTCAATACAATCATTCATTTTTAATACAGGAGGTACTTTTTGCAGGGTCAGCATTTTTAATAGAGAGGATTCTTCTTGCCAGAAATCTGAACTGCCTTATGTCGATCCAAATAAATGGACATTTTTTTTGTCAGCCTTAGTCTTTAACACTGACAAATAAGAAACCGGCTTAGTCATGTATGTTATTTTCGGTCCCCATGATTTTACGAATCACATGAAGCCCAATTTCTTTGTCGACCCCTCAGGCACTATCCTGACAAGTGGAAGAACACTTGAAAATTCCGGAAGGGTCTTCTTGAACCAGTCCGATGTCCCTGGAAAATGACTATTTACCACAGATTCACAAGTTTAATTCCAAGTAATTACAACTCAGTTAACTCTAATAATATAAATATTTTACCTTTCATGGCTTCTTCTGCTTCTCGTTCTCTTTGTAAAGCTGTGTATGTTGACTGTAATTGTGGGTGGATTTGTTGTGGTACGCCGTGACCGTGACCAGATGCACAAGTATTCCATATGCACTTGATCAATGCAGACGCCAAATACAGTGTCTGTTAAAATAAATGTAATAAACGTCTACAAAATAATCCAAATCATACCAAGATACTGTATCTATACAAAAATTTGTGACTATCGTTTGTTTGTCTGTTCATGGTTGGCAGCTACACAAGGGCTATCCCAAGGCTGAAATTTGGTGTATAGGGTTAGCGTGGACCATGGAGTAACATGGGCTAGGTGGCATTGGCCTACCACTTCCGGTTTCAGAGTTATAGGCAGAGGCGGGTCATCCACTAATGAATAAATATACCTGGTCATAGGAAAAAAATTATTCTGGCTCTCCGACATTCAATAATAAAAATCTAATGCAGTAGGGAGGTTTGCAAAACTCATCATTCACCTAATAACTATCTACACCAAGTTTCAACCTCAATTAGAAGCTAGGTTAACATGCTCCATAAAAGTGTGACAGACGGACAAACTCAATTCAACAGTCCCTTGCTTTCTTTGAAAGGTGGTTGAAATGAAGTTTCTTACTTTTCTGCACACACTGGACTAATAGAAATGGGCAGACGCCATACAGTGTGCTATGAGAGAAGTACATGTATATACTTACTGATTCTGTATGAGCTGATATATCTAGACTAGAGACTAGTTTCAATAAATGCCTGACTGGTGTTAAATCGTGGAGATTTTTTATCAGTGGTATTAAAATATCATACACCTGTTTACCGCAATGCTTCAACTAAAAACATAAAAAAAAGGTTTTGTTATTATATCTATAAACTGGTATAAAAGTCCTGGCTCGATTATAAACTAAAAATGTCTTCTTACAGCCGCTGACCAGTCCAAAACTGGTTCAATTCAAATGAAATGAAACGGGGTTTAACGTCCTACTGTTTTGCTCCTATACTGGGCTAATGAAGACGGGCATACGCCATACAGTGTGCTACGAGGGAAATTTTGCCCGGGCCGCGGCGCTACGGCCTACTCTTATATTGAATTCCAACTGCCAAGGGATCTTTTACATGCACGCCAATATGTACAAGGGACCTCGGTTTTTCGTCCCATCCGAACGACTAGACAGCTGTCCTTGTCAGGCCCTCCATCCGGCATCACTGACAAGAGGAAACCACGCCGTAAAATCTGGAGGTTCAATTCAAACATGATAAACTGAAAAATAGATGATATAAACAACTACTCAATTTAGGACTAACATATGGTAAGTTTTACTTAAATACAAATCGCTTATGAATAGGTCTTCAGGAGTATAAAGAAACCCACAAGGTTAGTTATATAAACCTACTCAAGCGGTTACCCGCCCACCCATTTTTAAATCTAATATCATTTTACCTGACTTGTTGCCCATATACAATCAATATGTTCATTTGTTATTCTTCCTTCCATAGCCAGAAAATTTAATATCATTTGACTTTGTTTGATTATCTGAAACAAGAAAGAATTTTAATATGGTCAAACCAATTTCATTTTCAGTTATTCTGGGTCTTGATGAAAGTATAGCCACTTGAGACTCGTAAACAAAGTATTTTTAAAATTTCAATCTGATTAAAATACAGATCTTTATTTCGTTTCGTTTTTTTATACTTTCGATGGCCTAGTGGTTTACCCACAGTTCCGTGCATGGCACGCCAAGAAGTAGCTGGTAATTTAACAACTCTTCCAGATCCTAGTGTAGTACAGAAAAATAAAACGAAATTTTGAACTATAAAAAAACTAAATGAAATAGGATCTGTGTTTTAATCAGATTATAAAAATTTCAAACTGAAAGTTTTTGAAGAGAGCACGCTGGGACAGCCTGTTGAACACAGAAATAAATAGTTTTATACAATAACACGCCAGAGACGGCATGTTGAACACACGATCGACCGATGTAACCAGTTTTATACATTAACACACTGGGACAGCATGCTGAACATAGTATACATTCAATACGACTTACCTCAACATGTAGATTTGGACCAAATATATGTTCAACTATTTTATTTTCAATCAACCATTGGGCAAGTTCATTTCCAACACTAGATAAATAATAAAAATCATTTTATTTCATTTTTACACAGAACTGAATAACATAGTAGAGTGCTGAAAGATGTAGTTTTTACCTAAAGATACTTCCGAGAGAAATGGGGTTTAACGTCCACTCGACACAAACTAGGTCATTTCGGGACAAACATATGGTTCGATTTTATTTCAATAATTCACTTGCGCATAGGGGTCTTTAGCAGAGGGGGGAAAAAGGAGGATCCGGGGAAAACCCACGAGGTTGGACAGGTGACCCTACTCCTTGTCACGTACAACTGAGGATTCGAAACCACACCAGTTGACTCAATGACAGACCTTACGATACAGCACACACGTATTAACCATTCGGCCATCCAACCCCCCCAAAGAAACTTCAGAATTATTGTGTTTATGTGCTTTATAAATGTTGATATATTTATATTCTACAATTTATCAGGCACAACTAAAACCATTATTTACAGGTCTGTAATATAATTTAATAATTACCTTTCTGCATCCATAAATGTTTCATTATTACAACTATCATTATATAAATTAATTTGACTCTGAAAAATATAAATTTAAATATATTTATCCACAGTGATTAGATATGAAATAAAGATCTGTTACATCATGTCGATGGATTCCAGGAATATAAATGTAGCATCAGGTTTCAAACAAATATTGTGAGAGAGAAGAGGTTGAAAGTTCTCTCAACAAAAAGAGGATCATTTTGGAACTGGTATATGGTTGCACATAGGTGGCTTCAGCAGTAAGAGGGAACTGGAGAACCCAGAGAAATCACTGATATGTTGAAATCATCCAATAATTGGTGAGAATCAATCATACCTATATTCTATATATGTTTGTCTAGGGTTGCCATGAGGATGAGATTTGGAGTATAAGGGCAGCTCGAGTCAGGGAATGACACAGCCTTCAAATTTCAGAGTTATACTTTCTCCGTTTCGGGGAGTCCATGCAACACCTGGTCAACCGCTAGTTTTTTTTATATACAGAGAGAGAGAGAGAGAGAAATGGGGTTCAACGTTCAGTTAACACAAACTAGATCATTTTGGGACTAACATATGGGTCAATTTCAGTTCAATAAATCACTTGCACGTAGGGGTCTTTAGAAGTGAGAAGAAAGTGGAGGATCCGGAGAAAACCCACAAGGTTGGACAAGCAATCCCTCTCCTTGTCACATACAATCGGGGAATCGAAAACACACCACCTGACAGACCTTATGATCCAACGTGCACGCATTAACCATTCAGCCACCCAACCCCCTTTTATACCAACATGTACTTACATTAATTTGTGCTATCCCTGCTAATCTTATCGTCAAGGTGGTACAAGTAAAATATTTAAAACCCAGCTGTAAACCCTCTTTATCAAAACTAAAATGATTTTCTAATGGTTCCTTGACGGCAGCCCACATTAACTCCGTCATATTTCTACTACCAGCATTCCGTAATTCTCTATCAGATAAACTACACATATATCTAAAAAAAAAAACCAACATAGATGCTTTTAACTCTCCATCAATCATTGATTACTGTATTGAATATTTAATTAAGAAAACAGAATCAATATATGAACAGTACATAATGTCTTGGCTTAGTGCCAATCGGATTAGATAGAGGCATATCAAAATATTTTTACCAACAGATAGATGGTGCTAGCTTGTTGATGTTGTCTTCAAGGGAAGCTGAATGGTGGGAAATTTTAGATTGAACCATTTTTGGGATGGATATTCATTTTACAGAATCAACTTTCTCAAGACTGTAGTTCAAAAGGGATTTGAAATCTCTCAAATGTTGATATGTTTCAGTAATATTTAAATACCATGCTTTATATTAGTTAACACCTTAACATCGAGCCCTACAATCTGGAGTTTCATAAAAATAATATGAAAAGGGTCATGGCAATTTGTCAGCTGCTGAATGGAACTTATGATGTGAATTAAAACAGAGGCTCTTGCCTTTCTGCTGCTAGTATCCCTTGTCATGGTAATTTTAAGTACACCTCATTAGATTTCATTTGATAAAACACAATAGCAGTTAGTTCTGCAGAAAACTCTCTAGTATTATGAGACGTAGAAACATAAACCATAATGTCATTAAATTTTTTGTAGCACTATGGGAATATACTGTGTATGGCATTTAGCACGTTAAAAGTGCACTTTTATTTTTATTATAATTAATCATACCTTATAACAGCTGATCTGAGTGGTATTATACACTGCATTACTGTTGGTATATTCATCCATAATCTCAACTAAAATACAGGTTAAAAAATAGTCAGATATACAGATGATCAACTAAAATACAGGTTAAAATATAGTCAATATACAGACAATCAACGGGGCCTAGTTTTTATGTCAACTGGACGACTGGCGAAAACCTGGGGAGAAAAAAAAAATGGCAAACACTAGTATCTAACCCCATATATCCTGGTTGTAAGGTCCTAACTCACTGAGCCACCTTGGCTCCCGTCAATAATATGTTCTATCACTTAATTTTAGTCGACACCTAAGATAATAGTATCTAAAACTCTTGCAGTGAAATTTAGTACATGACACTTTAACCAAACATATATTAATAACGACAGGAGAATTCCCATAAAAATATTGTGAATAAAAATAAAAAATAAAACGCGACTGATCTAATAATGATTTATACAGAGAATCTGGATAGAACAGTAAAGAATAGTTTTTCCATGTAAACGAGACTTGTTTTAAAATGATTTATAAATAATAACTTACATTAGCAATTAAATGAATCAGTAAATGAGCAAAATTAAAAGGTAAAGTCTCAGGTGTTGCTTTCTCAAAACACTGCTCTAAAGCTTGTATACCGTTTGTGTCGCAGAAAAAACAAACATTACGCAGTAAATAAAGGGGTACATCAGGATCCTACAATAAAAAGAAAATTTATCATATATTTATTTTACAAGAAATCGATTAAAACTCAAATCTAGATTAATAAGTGCCGGGGAACTGAACCACGAATAAAAAATTTATCATATATCTATTTTACAAGAAAACATTAAAACTCAAATCTAGATTATTAATTGCCGGGGAACCGCACCACAAATAAAAAAATAAACAAAAAAAAATCCTCATTCTAAAAGTCTATGTTTTCAGTAATAATATACAATTTGTACAATGTAGTCTTGTAGTCCCTACAAATCAGTTGCGTGTCTTTACTAGATGTAGTGTCATATTGTGGTATATTCTATATCATTGTGGTCTGAAACCTTATGTTTAAGCAGACACAAGTTGTCTCCCTTATGTTGTAGTTCTTCTGCCTTTTAGAGTAATAAAGATAGAGATTGGAATTCTAACATGGAGAATGGTTGATTTTTATTTTCACCCACATATAAATGTGTAACACCCCTGGATCCAAGGATCCGAATACAACATGGTGGAGATGCAAAACATCCTAAACTTATTGTGCTTCATATTTTGTATGTTTTTCACCAAACTATGGATTTAATCAGATTTTTGTGACAGTTTAAGAGTACCATGTGCTTTTCATATCTGTGCCATGTGCTTTCCATGTGCTTTCTTAGAATGGACTAAGCAATACTGCTTGACTTTACTGTATATCTTGAACTCTACTGATATTAGTCAACTGATGGAACTTTAATCAATCTAGTATCATTCTAATTTTGAGAATTTTCATTGTGCAGATGAGATCAGATTGAGATAGCCCTACATTGCCTACAATTATCCAAAGTCTGAAATTATTTTGGAGAGCCTAGTCTTGAAGACAGAATAATTTAAACCATGTTTATGTTCAACTTACATCATCATTACCTAATTTTCAATTCATACTATGATTTCGATCCAGTTTCCAGTTTTATGTGACTGTGAATGTAGTAATATTATTTAGTATTCTTGAGCAGGCAGTGTGGTGTAGATAATCCCAGAGAAGACCAATTATTGTAGATGTAGTATAGGCCTACCGACTTTTAATTCTAGCCTTAGACAGTCCAGTGACAATTATAACATAACATGCCAGTTTTTAGCTTCATACTGAATAGTATTTAATAGTAATAGTAACATTTTGAAATCTACAGTCTACAGTGATTTGATGCATATGCAGTTGCAGTGACATTTGTGTGATATTTTCCTATATAAATCATTTGTTCAATTATCGACATTCATTGAATATTATTGACTTGTGTTTGTTTTACCTGCTTGGTTATCGTTGTTAGGATATTGTATGATTGTATTGTATGATTGTGTTGGGTGAATGTGTTATTTGTGTACAGTACTTGAATTTCCATTTTGTTAATTTGATATATTGTTTAGTAATTAGTTTTCTAACATTTTGTAAGCTTGATACATGTATATATATTGTTTCATAATTAATTTTGTGGCATTTCATAAGTTCATTTTGTACAACTTTGAAATGGCTCAAGGTAAGCCCTTTAATGCTGATAAATTTGATGGGTCTATCCTAAGTAGGGATCTTGCTACAGCACATTATTTGACTTTCGTGGATTATTTAGAACATCATAATCATGATCAGAACCCTGTCAATGTTGCAGGAATTAATGTGATGGTTGGTCTCTTCAGGCAAACATTAAAAAGCAAAGCACGTCTATGGATAGAAGGTAAAGTGTTCCGAAGCTTGGCAGATCTCCGCACTCAGTTTATTGAGAGATTTTCTGATAATCGGACGCCCTTTGGTTTGCATAAGGATTACGCTTCATTTTGTTATGACGAAACTAAACCGCCCTCTGAAAATTTAGAGGAACTTCAGAGATTAGGAAGACAGTTGGACATAGCTGATGCACAACTGCGATACAAGTTTGTTTCCATTTTGCCATCATTATGTCAACAAGCTGTGGCAATGTCAATTAATGACAGGACTTCTATTTCTGACATAGCTCTCAAAGCTCAGTATTACTTTGACATTCACAAGAGTGACAGTAAAACTAAGGAAGTAACCTTTTTCACGGCAGAAAATGACAAGGATACTCAGATAGCACACTTAAAACAAGATTTAGCTGATCTTAAGCTAGAGCTGGAACGCCCATCACGACAATTTGCTTCAGGTTTTTCTTCTCCTCGGAGACGGTCATCTTCTCATCATTCTTCTTCCAATGATAATCGACGCATCGATCACTCAATCAGTCCTAAGGCACGCCATACCAATGAATTTCGACCTCATAGCCCTAGACAAAATCGAAATTCTCATTTCTCAAGACATAACAACAGATCATATTATAACAGTCGATTTTCTTCAAGTCGTCAAGATTTTTCTCCAAATCACCAAGATTTTTTTCAAAGTCATAGGAATCGTCAAATTGTCTGTGACTACTGTGGAAAGCCTAACCATACTTGGCGCTCTTGTTTCGTCCGCCAAAGGCACATGGCTGACAAACATAATCAGGATTTTTAATACAGGGAATTTGTTCCATTGCTCCGAATAAATTCCCGATGTCATCATCACAGACCAAACCTTTAAACATACAATTGTCAAAACGTAATTATTGTAAAGGTAATTTCCCTGATGGACATTCTGCTTTACTTTTGTTTGATAGTGGTGCTACTCGATCACTAATCTCATCATTTACTATTGAGTCATCTTCGTATCTCAGTGGTTTACCACTTCATAAATTAGAACAATCCCTAAAATTTAGAATGGCTAATGGTCAACTAATAGTTTGTTCTCATTCGCTACAACTTGAGATAGTTATTCAAGGTCATACTTTAGTTTTTGAAGTGTACATTGCTTCCAATCTTGTTGGAATTGATTTGATCGTTGGTCAAGAGACATTGGCAAAGTTGGATGCCAACCTTAGTTTTAATAACAATGTTTTGCAGTGTCGATCTACCAACATTTCATTCTCAACATCTAATTCAGTCTATGTCAAACCCAATCAGCAACGTTATGTTACTGTTCATGGTAAAATTCCAGGTATTTTTCGCAATCGCGAGGTTTTAATGACATGTAATAGTAAGATTAAAAGTGCTTGTCCTTCAACATTTCTTATCAAGCTAAAAAGAAATAGTGCTGTGATTCCAATATGTAATACAACTTCCAAGACATTACATATTCCATCATCTAGACCTATATCCCATGTTTCACTACATGACATTTTCGTTTGTGACTCTATTAATATATCTACAGAATATGAGTCTAATTACACCAGTCATTCATCAGACTCTGTATTTCGCTCTACAATTGACCTTACCAAAAGTCTTCTTACAGCCAACCAGAAAGACAATTTCTACCAGCTTTTGACTAAACATAAAGAAGCATTCAGCTTGAATGGCGAAATCGGAAAATGTCCCAATATCCAAGTTGATATTGACGTCACTGATGACAAACCTTTTTATATTAGGCCTTACCCTAAAACCGAAAAAGAAAAACGTATAGTTGATCAAGAGTTACAGAAATTAGTGAAGTTAGGAATACTTGCAGTTGGTAGTCAAGCCTACACATCACCTGTCTTGATTCTTCCAAAGAAGGGAACCAATGAAAAGCGAGTCGTTGTAGATTTCAGATATTTAAATTCGCGGATTAAGCGCTTAAATCATCCGTTTCCACTGTTGACAGACACTCTGAAGAGAATTGGTAACGCTTCACCTGCTGTTCTTAGTTGTTTAGATCTTAAGTCGGCTTTCTTTTCCCTTCCTTTATCGCCTAAAGCTCAACAGTACACAGGCATATCTTCATACTCTGGTGGAAAACATTACTATTTTAAGAGACTAACACAAGGATTATGTATATCTCCAGCGGTTTTTCAATCAACAGTTGATAATGTTTTAGCAACTATTCCAAGTAGTTACGATTTCTGTATCGCACACCATGATGATATAATTGTTTTTAGTCATGATACTGATTCTCATACACAACATTTAAATCTTCTTTTTAAGGCCCTTATTCAACATGGTTTAAAAATTTGTCCTCGTAAATGTGCATTTTTTCGTCAGGAAGTTACATATATGGGTCATAAAATACAACTTGGTTCAGAAGGCCTAGTGACTATTCAGCCTTTGTCAGATAGGTGTAAAGCCATTCAGAATCTTCCCAGGCCTAGGTCAACCAGAGATGTACGACGTTTTGTGGGCGCTGTCAATTATTTGTCAAACTTCTTGCCCAGTTTGCAATCCATATTGCAACCTCTACATAAGATATCCAATAAACGTTCGGTTTTCAAATGGTCAGAAGCTCAAGAAACAGCCTTCACTAAAGTAAAATCTTTGTTAGTAAAGCCACCCGTTCTATATATGCCTTCTGGCACCGGACGCTTAACCCTTTACAGCGATACATCTCGCTTTGCAACAGGATCTTACCTTACTCAAGTCATTCAAGGTCAAGAACGACTGTTAGGATATTACTCAAAACGCTTACCAAAAGCTTGTGAAAGATATTCCGTTACTGAATTAGAGTTATTCGGATTACTCATAAATATTTCCAATTTCCAGTATTTATTACGTGGAGTAGAATTTGATGCATACGTAGATCATGCAGCCATCATTCATCTATTTGATTCAAAACGTGCACCTTGTACAAATCGACTTCAGAAACTTTTAGTAAAACTCTCCCGTTTTTCCTTCAAGATCGGTTACAAAAAGGGAAAGGAGCTAGTTCTCGCAGATTTTTTGTCTCGTAATCCCCTTGAGGATGATTCAGAGATAGATTCAGTAGTTCCTACAGCATTTACTTTAACAGAAAGACCTATAACTCGTCAGTGGGCAAAACAACAGAACATACCCATTCCGGATCTTAATTCCTCAAAACAAAAGTTATCTTCTTCATCTATGCTTACCAATCCTCCAGTTTCAGCAAATCAACAATCTCTTCATAATTTTCCCAGTGATTTTGAAGATAGATCCAATGATAGACAAGCCGTCTCTACATCAAAGTCTGGCAACAAGTCTCATACTATTCAACAATCAACTCAGCAAGAGTCTACTCCCTTGTCTTCTGTTTATGCACCACCTTCTACTTTCCCCAATGAACCTCGACTTGTTGACCGAATCCTTGACTCAGACACACCCAATGTTGAAATACCTATTGAATTGTGCATGCCTCCTAGCCCAGTTGTTCATAATTCTGCACAGGTTGTTAAATCTCATTTTCCCAAACAGCGAGAGTTGGATAAATTACTTTCAATCATCAAGAGAAAAATGATACGAGATTACAATCTTCCTATTGATTGCAATCAACTGCGTATACAACAAGAGACATCACCATATTTTAAACCCATTTATGACTATTTATCTCACGGTATACTTCCTTCCAACCGTGCAGCAGCCAAATCGGTTAAGAATAAATCTGACGAATATATTCTCTATGATAATGTATTATTTCGTCTTATTATTCATAAGGATGAAACATTTAGTCTCCAGTTGGCAATTCCTGAATCGATGTGTTCTAATTTAATCAGTATTTACCATGATAATATTCTATCCAGTCATCAAGGTATTACCAGAACTTACCTCACCATGCGGAAACTTTTTTATTTTCCACAGATGTTTCACACCATAGCTAATTATATTAGCAGCTGCCATCCATGCCAACAGTTTAAACCGAAGTCAGATGATGTTCGTATTTTTCATCCACGAATACCTACCGAATTTCGAACTTTCGATAAACTTTGCTTAGATTTTAAATCCATGCCAGCTTCACCCAGTGGATTCAAACATTTAATGGTGATATGCGACGAAATAACTAGATTTATACTGTGTGTTCCATTGAAGTCTCTTGATGCGGAAACTATTTGTGAGGCTATCATCCAAAAGATCGTTTGCATTTTTGGCCCTCCTTCTGTATTAATTACAGATGCAGCATCCTCTTTGACAGGAAAATTGGTATCTATTCTTTGTTCTTCATTAGGAATAGATCACAAACTAATCAGTGTTGCAAACCATGGTAGCTTGTTGGTTGAGAGACATATTAAATCTGTATCTGACCTTCTCAAATTCAATCTAAATCAATTTGGTACGGATTGGGTCAGGTTTGTTTCTACCAGTTGTTATGCATATAATTCATTTGTTTCACCACAACTTGGAAATCATAGCCCATATCAGCTCGTTTTTGGAAAAGAACCCAAAAATCTTACTTCTCTCAACTGGAACTTTGACAAGAGTCTTTGTAAATCCTATTCGGATTATTTGTCACATTTGAAACAAAAGTTTGATTCTATGTCTTCTACTATTTTAGATTTGCAAAAACGCAAACAATTAAGTCAAAATGTTAGTATCTCACACAGTCTAAGTACAAATCCAGTTTATGGATTAGGACAGTTTGTTTATGTTCTGAAACCTTCCTCATCAGCTTTAACCTCTAAGTCAAAGAAAATCAAAGCTGAATGGTGCGGACCTTTGATTGTCCACCAGATTTTGGATCGCACACATTACATTTTAGCAACATTAGATGGTAGAGTTTTGCCTGATGTCTATTCCATTAATCGGCTTAAACCTTGTTTCATAAGAACTAATGAGCCAGTAAAGAGATTAACACATATTGACCAATTACGTAAACAATTAGGTAAATCTGTATCTAGCAATGATTCACCTGTATTGAATACTAAGGATAGTTTGTATCAGTTTACAGATGAAAATGGTTATAATTTACCTGAATTTAATAATAAGTTTATTACTTATGATAGATTTACTACTTCTGTTGATATTAATAGATGTATACCTAATCAAACTATTGCCTCTTTATCTATGTTATCACCTCCTCAAATGGAAGAACAACTCAACTACTTAACAGAAGTTGTGAATGATGACAATTTTATTGAAATCAAAAGAGCAAGATTTAAATTTGGTAAATTTCAATTGCTTGTCAAATTTAGCCCAAAACAACAACAAAGTTGTGAATGGATTAATATAGATCATAATGTTGAGTTTTGTAATATTGCTCATGAGTTAATTAATGAAAATACTCTACAAGTAACTGGTAATCTCCGTAAATATCAAAGTAAATATTTTTAGAATTGTTCCTTACACAATGTGTTTAAGCTTGTATTGAAGGTAAACCTATTTTTGCTATTTATCATACACTCCTATATTATGATGAGACTCTTCATAGTTAAAATTAGATCATTATTGTTTATATGTATCTGATAGTTGGATAATTTGATATACACTTGTATGTTAAAGAGATAATATAGTATTAGGTTGGAGCAATACTTCTCAATCAAGTTTGTTTTATAGAGAACATTTCAAAATGGAGTTATCGTAGGATTTCTATGTATATTATAGATGACATGTAATTTTCATAATTTGTTTTGTTTTAATTAACATTCAATATTGTTCTTGTTTTACTACTTTCTCATTTTTGGTATCATATCGTATCATCCCTCATTTTTATTCTCATGTATATTTAAGCTTTTCTTATTTTTGTGTGATAGTGTGTGAATGTTTTTCCATTTATATCTCTTCTTTTCAAAAATTCCTATGGAATTTTGTTTTAACGCGGGGGGATGTCATATTGTGGTATATTCTATATCATTGTGGTCTGAAACCTTATGTTTAAGCAGACACAAGTTGTCTCCCTTATGTTGTAGTTCTTCTGCCTTTTAGAGTAATAAAGATAGAGATTGGAATTCTAACATGGAGAATGGTTGATTTTTATTTTCACCCACATATAAATGTGTAACACCCCTGGATCCAAGGATCCGAATACAACAGTAGGGAGCATGATAATTATCATCCACAAAAGAAAGCATTTAAAAGATCTTTAAAAAGTAAGAAGGTGAATCGACACCAATTATCTAAATTACTATTGTCCAGTGCCATTTATGATTGTCAATTAGCACAGTGTTGTGTACTTGAACCTCCTGGACTCATCAAATTCAATCGGAAAGGTTTAATAGAGTTACCTCCCTTTACCACAGAAAATATGAACATTTATTTTATGATCGGTAGTGGAATACCGCGTTTTATCAGTGAAATAAAAGTGTTATTCCACTGGCTCGCAGTAGTCCATGTTGTTTTTACCTAAAATGATTGTAAAATCATAAAATAAATAGAACATTTGTCATTTTATTTCATCTCTAAGCAAGAAAACGTTTTCTTGCTTCTCGATGAAATAAAATATGTTATTCACTCTAAAACGACAAATATCCTCTATGTAATAATTTTGAAAAGTCTTTATTGTTTTTAAAATAAAAATCTGGTCATGCAGTCTTTTTAAGTAATGCCATGGAATCCCAGAACCAGGATATTGCTTTTATGCAGCCTTAGATGGAATACATAAACTAAATATGAATCAAGAAAATCAACCATATTGAATAAAATAATCTAACTAGTACTTACTGAGATTTCACAATAATTGTTAAGTGCACTTGTTTCATGTTGTGAAAGCTCCTACAAAATAAAAATAGGAAAAAAAATAATTTATCATCAACACAAGAAATATGGATACTGTTATACACTACTGAAAGTTTGTATTATTATTTTTTTTTAGTGGAGCTCACATAAATTTGAATTCAAATAACTTTTCGAGGCTAATGTAACTGATTTTGAATCGCTTAAAAAGTACAATAATATGAAAGTTGAATCCCTAAAAATAGTTTAATTCAGTTCAGTATTTACAAAGATATGATGAACTGAAAATTTCGCAACATTCGGCAACGTCTTCAGAAAATAAAAACAAGCCAGTGTCACAAATAAGTGTTAGGTTAAATCGTTTGTTGACCACCTTTTTAACTTGATTCAATCCAAGCCGGGTGATTATCTACCCTTGATATTTCGGTCTTGTTTTCCTAATCAAAAGTGAAATGATTAATCTGAGTACAATTTAGTGTTGATAAAGCCTTGAAAAATTAAGATATTTTATCTGAAAAATGCATAATAATGAGAGAGAGAGAAATGTCGTTTAACGTCAATTCAACACAAACTAGGTCATTTCGGGACTAACACATGGTTCAATTTTATTTCAATAATTCACTTGCGCGTAAGGGTCTTTAGCAGTGGGAGGAAACTGGAGGACCCAGCGAAAACCCTTGAGGTTGGACAGACAACCCTACTCCTTGTCACCTACAACCGGTTAATCGAAACCCCGCCAGTTGACTCAATGACAGACTGTATGCTAACCATTCGGCCATCCACACCCCCCCCAATCATCAATTATTCTACTTTCTCCGTGAAATTAATGTAATAAATGATTTACCTCCAATGATGTGTGGATAAAATGTTTGTAAGCCATATAAAGGGGAAAATTCATCAGAAAAACTTTAGTTATGAATTGAACTAATTTCTCTTTTTCTTCTAAAGACCAATATTCATTTTCTTCTTCTTGATCTTCTGATTTTTCTTCCTTTTCTTCTTTTTTCTCTGTTTTTTCTTCTTTGTCAACTTCAGGTTGCTCTTCATCTTTAGTCTTTTGATCCTCATCTTTAGGGTAAATTTTATCGAATTCTTTCTGTATGTCGGTCGGCAGAGTTTGTATCAAGCGGATCGCAGTCCGTAATACAGTCTGAATCAGGTTATTCAGTTTTTCAATGTTCTTGAAGTCCTTGTAACAGCACATGCATTGCCTGTAATGAAAGAAATGAGATCTCAAGTCATTTCATTATCTGATGAAGCTCCATGTTTCTTGCCTTTTAGAAAACTTGGTAATTAATTAATGAGAATCTGCAAGAATTAGTTTCTGTTTTTCTCATGAATATTCTCACCCGACCAGAATGTGGACTCAATGAAAAATCTGCTGCCTACATGAAGTATACATGTCTTCATTAACCCAGTAGGTGTAGAAAGGTTAGAAATTTAACCACTTCTTTCATTTCATTTACTCACTAACATTCGGGTGTAGGCCGAGAAAGTTCATCAGGATTTTCTGGCATGGTTTCTCCTTGTCAGTGGTGCAGGACGGAGGGCCTAACAAGGACAGCTGTCTAGTCGTTCGGATGGGATGGAAAACACACGTCCTGTGTACACATTGGCGTGCGCGTAAAAGATCCCTTGGCTGATGAAATTAGATATGAGTAGGCCGTAGCGCCATTGTCCAGTCAAAATTTCCCTCATAGCATACTGTATGGCATATGTCCGTCTTCATTAACCCAGTCGGAGCAGAACAGTAGGACGTTAAACCCCATTCCATTCCATTTCATTTCATCACTAACGCAATACAATAGAGTTGATATCACATTGTTTATGTCTCAGTACTACAATATAGAAAGCTTGTCCAGACACATGTATTACAAGCTTTATTTTCAGATCTACACCTACTATGAACCTTCTGTTCCTTACCTCTGTGCCCATGTTCCAACATATAAAATAACAGCTTGTATCTCTCTTTTATTAAGCTGTAAACCAACATTACTGTGAACTCGTTCATCATCTATAATAAAGGAATAAACAGTTTACCATATTGTAGTTGTGTCTAGCCTGCTCTTTATCAGCCAGGTCACTGAGGTGAGCCCAAATTAGTTCTAAAAACATTTTTGTTCCATAAATATGTCATATGTTACGGAAAAGTTGAACAAGGGGGACATAATATTTTTGCAGCTACAGGCAACCACAGGAGGCATGCACCTGATTATGTTCCCTTTACATTGTTAATGCAAGGGCCACAGTGACACTTCCAGCCAGTGACCTTATGAAAGCTTAATCCAGCCCTGCTCTAGTCTTTTGTACAACAACAGAACATTAAAGCCAACATTGGGGAATACTAAAAGTGCACGATATTTACATGTATAGTATATAAAAAATACAATAAAGTAATAAGCAAATAATACCATAAAATTTATTCTTTAATTTTCCAATGCATGTTCAAATGTTTCTAAATACTATGATTGTCTTATAGTATTGTTGTTTCAGGTTATTTAGGGTTTTTTATTGTTAGAAATACTGGTACAAACTCTAACCCTGGTATACCAAGAATATGATCAACAAGTTTAGTTGATGTTTCAGCCAATGTGTCATACACAAAAATTAGAGGTCGATTCTAAAGACTCGATTCAAATTTTCATAATGTGTGGTTTGGATTTTCACATTGATATTCCCCAATCGGATAATTTCATCAAAAAAATACAACAGGTTTTGAAACAGCAAAAGCCTGACCCGTTTGCAGCATTGGAAAACATTAGCAGTAATAGACACTACAGTTACAGAACTCAATTAATTGGTATCATATGTTTGTAATAATAGGCCATACAGTTACAGAACTCAATTAGTTGGTACCATAATTTAGTAATAATAGGTCGTACATTTGCATAACTCAATTAGCTGGTACCGTTTAATAGGCCTTTCAGTTACAGAACTTAATTGGTTGGTACTGTATATTAGTAATAATAGTCTGTACTGTTACAGAACTCAATCAGTTGGTACCTTGTGTTAGTAATAATAGGTCCCACAGTTGCAGAACTCAATTACCTGGTACCATACGTTAGTAATAATAGGTCTTTCAGTTACAGAACTCAATTGGTTGGTACTGTATATTAGTAAGAATAGGCCAAACAGTTACAGAACTCAACTAGTTGGTATCGTGTGCTGGTAATAATAGGTCTTACAAATACAGAACACAACTAGTTGGCACCGTGTGTTAGTAATAATAGGCCAAACAGTTACAGAACTCAACTAGGTGGTACTGTGTGCTGGTAATAAATAAACCTTACAGTTACAGAACTCAACTAGTTGGTACCGTGTGTTAGTAATAAGCCAAACAGTTACAGAACTTAAATAACTGATACTGTGTGTATTAATTCATTCATTAAACTTTGATGGCATCAAAGCATGGATAACATATACTACTACAGTACTTAAAAATCAACCTGTAAAATTCTTAAATTCAATACTAGAATATTGAATATCATCACAGTCTCACAGACACAGTTAGATGAGATCTACATAGCTTGGGGTTCAACATGTACAACTGATATCAAAAAACTAAAATGTAACAATATTTGGCCTAGTACGTTGACCAGCCTACTTTTGACTTCTACTAGTGCTACTACTAACCATAACCCTAACCCTAAGTAGCCGGATCAACGTACTGCGCCCAACAATATTTTTACATTTCATTATAATTATTGCATAGTAGTAGTTGTGCCTAAACAGAAAAATAATTTCTGTCCTATACAATTGAGAAAAAAGGCTTTAAAATTGTTTGATTCTATTCCTGATTACATATTTAGTAAATAAATAATGTCAATACAATCATTTTATTGCATGGATGAAAAATAAAAACAAATCATAAACTCAAAATTGCATCCACTTACGATTGTCTAGAAGAATCAAAACGTCCGTGCAAGTTTCACACATGGCATTTGCTTATAATTCATAAACACGCTATCTAAACTTAGATGTCAATCATGTCAATAGTATTATACTAAGTTCAATAATAAACAATAAGTAATATCTTCCACTTGTCAGAGCCGAAGAAATGTCTAGCCCGCCATATTGGTTAGTTTTCTTTCTTTTTCCCAAACATTTTGATTATTTTGAAACAACCCCAGAAGTGACGTAGGGTTTAATGTCTTGGTTGTCAGGTCTCTCGGTTATTCACAGGGAGGCATAAAATTAAATGATGAGTGACTACCGCGCAAGACAATTTAATTTCAACCAAATAGTTACTAAATAGTCTTAAACACTTTCATATTAGTATAAAACAAAAGAATATAACTGAAAATAAATAGCTGAGGCTTTTGTTACTGTATTTGTCTGCGTTTTTTTTTGGTTTTCTTGTTTTGTTTTGTTTTTTTTTTTTTTTTTTTTTTGGGGGGGGGGGTGTTTTGAGGTTTTTTTCCAGAGTTTTGCTCTCGCGAATAGTTTCAAATGGCATAACAGTTATGGTTCCCTTAATAACGCAATTTTCAACTCTTTACAAATGATTTTCTACTTTTTACTCTAGACGGCATTTTGAACCCGATACCGCAACATATGATTTTACACACTGATCAGCAGTGAATAATCGCTAGGCCGCTACAATCACTGATAAGGATGACATCAATGCGACCTAATGAGTCTCAAATATTAATTTTTTTCCACCGAAAAATTAAATTCTAAAACATTTTTATGATGCATTAGAAAAATAAATAAAGACGTTTGACGTATTTGTGGGTAAAAATTATTTCCTATTTAGTGTAAAGGGGTATTAAAATGACTAAAAGACAGCATTCTGCCCGAAGCAGTAACGTCTTATGTAAACAATGCACGCGCCATTCAGCCAATGGTTGACGCCGCGTGCTGTGACGGCACGTGTTAAAGGCAGTCATCTTTTACAGAGATATTAGATGACTCGTAATTCTCTGTGAAACAGATTGATGATTTTAGAGTTAGTTTAGTTATCCTTCATATTGACGAACAAATTTTCCCCGTTGCAGGGTTTTTCACTGGCCATTTATGACCGTTCATCGCCCAGTTTTGTTTTCATGGGCCATTTAGTAACAACTTGGTTACACATAAAAACCGTTTCGGCGGTTGTTGGCTATAAAAATAAACACCTCTAAATATATGAAATACAATTTTATATTTTTCAAAGAAATGAAACTTTTATGGTTTGAGAATTAGACGGGAAGAGTAAGATTGTTGTGTTAAGCAGGGGGAACAACCCTTTCCATTACATTTTTGAACAGCATGTTCGCAGAGATTACAAAACCACTCTGTAATCTGTGTAACAAATCTGTTATCATATTATATCATATCATACCACAATCTAAAAGAAAACAAAAACTAATACCCAAAATATTTAAAAATTCTGAACTTGATAACTAATATATATTGTCTGCATGGATCAATAGTTGACGGATCCCGAGAAAAAAACAACTTTTATTGCGAATTCATCTTTTTTGTAATACATTTTAGAAAGTTAATTTATGTTAGGGGAGTAGAAATCTAAATCATTTTTCTTGGAATAGCGTTATTGCGAGTAACTGATTTTATTTTTTTCCCCGTCTTCATTAGCCCATTCGGAGCAGAACAGTAGGAAGTTAAACCCCATTTCATTTCATTTCATTTATTTCTTTCGGATTAAAATTAATATTTCTCTGAAGGATAAATATTTCAATAAATTTGAAGTGAACCCTGATTCAATACCCCAAATTTCAGACTCGGGGCAGACCTAGTGTAGCCGCCAACCCCGAACAGACAGACAGACAAACGACAGTCACAAATATATATATATATATAGATTAGCTCCTTTAACATTAGCCCATTCGCAAAATGAATTTGTATTCGACAACCATTGTGCATGCTAACTAGTTTTGTTGGATGTCAGTTTTTTCCTAGAAAATTTTACATCAAACACTAATAACACCAACAAAAATTCGGCCAGTTGACGCAAATCGGCGAGTAGGCCTATCCACCAAACGACGATCTTTTGACTCAACTAAGTCAAATGAGCACGAGACTGAGGTTATGCTGGGGAAAGAAAAACTGAAGAAAATAACCCAAGAAAAAGAAAACCGGAGGCCAGCAGGCCGATGTTTTTCTGTCGAGATTTTTTTTTCTGAAGTCTTTCTTCCTCAGCATAACCGAAGTCGAGGACTTTATCTTGCTTATAAGCCGTCTATGTTTACATGTACGTAAAATGAGAATATCACAGAATTCCCGTAAGAAAAACCTTATATCATGTTTTCTTATGGAAAAAAACCTATCCTGGAAGAATAACCCGTTACAGGTTTAAATCAAAACTTTCAGAAGAATAACCCCAAATTCCCCTGTATATATCTAAAGCCGCCACCGACTTTCAGACCGCAAGTTATTCCGGGCATAGAGTATCCCCAAAGATCAAAGAGATTTACCGTTATAGGTTTATAATGCGGGTTATTGGACAGAATAGTCAAAGTATACCCCATAGGAGTATTATTCAAGTAATCAATTAACTTGTTTAGCTTTCCACTTGTCTTTGACTTTCTTAAAGGGCGTATGGCTTTATTCTTTGGAATCTTAAAATAGACGAAAATGGGCTTGAAATCACAATTAATGTAACATGAATGCATATAAAGTATATTTAGTTTTTAAAATAAATATTGTAATTTCTAATGTATTATGTTCGGTAAAATACGTTTTTTTTTTTTAATTATTATTTTGTCGTTTGTGAATTATCCATTACTAATTACTTCCGCATTCTTATGTAAGATATTTTGTTCTGTATTCATTACAAATGGCGCCCGAAACCACAGAATACACGACTCGTGTACTGATGTTCATTGTGTCTTAAATACTAGATATTTGGATGCCATATTTTCACAATCTGATTAAAATACAGATCTATATTTCGTTTCTATTTTTATACTTTCGATGGCCTACACTACAAGAAGATCTGACAAGTTATTGTGGAGTTCACGTCAGGGGTCAAACGTGTGGCTTTTGACCCTATGACGTCAGACATCAATTAATCAATCAGCGTTGACTTTTCTAGTGGTTTACCCACAGTTCCTTGCACCAAAAGGCCAAAAGCTCGCCGTAACAGACCTTTTCATTGGCTAATCCCTCACATCTGCCAGAACACGTCAATGATAACAACTCTTCCAGATCTTTGTGAAGTAAAGACAAGTAAAACGAAATTTTGAACTATAAAAACGAAACGAAACAAAATCTGTGTTTTGATCAGATTGATATTTTCACGGCAAGATAACAATATTGAAATGGACCAATACTGAATTCTAATTCATGTTTTTAATTTTAAATATTATGGATTAAGTCGAGGTTTATTTTACTACTTGAGGTTTGTTTTCAAAAACAAGTGGATCTAGTTTGGCATAACGGAGCCGCGATAGCACATTGACGTGCACGTAAAAGATCCCTCGGCAATTGGAATTCGATATAAGAGCAGGTAATCCGCTGTCCTAGCAAAATTTTCCCCGTTTATAGAACACTGTATGGCGTATGTCTGTCTTCATTAGTCAGTGATCCAGGACGGAGGGTCTGGCAAGGACAGCTATCTAGTCGTTCGGATGGGACGAAAAACCGAGGTCCCGTGTACACATTGGAGTGCACGTAAAGGATCCCTTGGCAGTTGGAATTCGATATAAGAGTAGGCTGTAGCGCCGCTGCCCGGGCAAAATTTCCTTCATAGCACACTGTATGGAGGGGGGGGTCTAGGTTGGATAATTGCTTAACTTATTGCGGTGGGCGTAGCCCACCGCCGCGAGCGCCGAAGGCGCTAAACGTCGTAAGGGGGTATGGGGGCCCTCCCCCAGAAAAATTTGGTAAATTAGATTCAATTTAGTGCATTCTGACGTATTTCTGGAAGGTAAATTCCAAAATTACAGGTCTAAAAATCGCCAATAAAATCGCATAAAATGTCCTTAAAATGTTGATGGGGAATGCTCCCTTCACAGACGTGGAACTAAATACCTTCAGATACCATATTATGGTTGTTCTTAACAAGCTTTATTAGAAGTATCAATTTACTATTAGAGTAACCAGTCCATTTAAAGTAGCTAAGTCTCTAACTCAATATCATCCAAAATCTTCAACATTGAAAACACGATTTATTTGTCAAATTAAATCAACATTCATGTTGTGATCTTACCAGAAAAGATGGGCTTTTGATATCCAATATTTAAGACAAAATAAAAATTTTACCATTGGTACACGAATCGTGTTCCATAATGCGCTTCAGCCCCAGTTGTATCAAGAGACTCGAGGGACGAGGCTAGACACATTGCACCAAATCAAACGGCGTATGTAGACTGGAATAACCAAACGCTAGAAATTTGCACTCGCTTGAGACTGCTGGCTTATTTCGCCGAACATAACTGATTTGAAATTGGAGTAAAAACGGAAACCATTGAATGTAAATCAGTTTATATACAGTCATATTACATAGAGGATATTTATCGTTTTAGAGTGAATAACATATTTTATTTCATCGAGAAGCAAGAAAACTTATATTTTCACGAATGCGTAGCATGAGTGAAAATATAAACGTTTTCTTGCTTAGAGATGAAATAAAATATGTTATTCACGACAAAACGACAAATGTTCTATTTATTTTATGATTTTACAATCATTTTAGGTAAAAGCAACATGGACTACTTTGTCCGCTTCTAGCCAGTGGAATAACACTTTTATTTCACTGATAAAACGCGGTATTCCACTACTGATCATAAAATAAAGTATTATATGCGTTGCAACCCACTTTTGTCAATTTCTAGGTCCCAAATGTTAGCGATTTAGCTCCTTTAAGTATAGGAAAGTTGGTCGGGGTTTTCCAGAGCACAAACTTTCACAGACGAAAAGTCTATACACTTGGTTTACTGTTTTTACTTTCAGCGCATAAAAATAAATAATATAGCTTGCAATTGTTGCACAGGCTTAATCATAAATGTAGAGGTTTACAGGAAATTTTCACACAAAATTAAACAGATTTATCTTCCAAAAATTATGTGGGACCTTCACTTTAACTGTGCAATGCAGAGAAAAGTCGGCGTGGCTTTTTTCTGATGAACTGTCCAACGATATTCTCGACATTTAGCTGGAGCTTTCTGTTAACGTTGATGAGCACCAGGGCACTCTGGCGTTCTTATCAACGCTGCCGATAAAATTAAAAAGCAAACACAACAATATTCAACGTCAACAGGCGAACAGCGTTAATAAAACTCTTTAAATTTCAATAAACTTATATTTTCATACAGTACGGTATTAAAAAATTGCCGTCGTCAATAGGCGATTTGCCGTGGGGTCAATTGGTCCCGATGGCAATTTATGCTGTCGACATTTTTGGCTAATTGTCAGAGCTGTATGTGACTATTTGTTTTTTCCCACAGTGGAATGAAAGTCATGACTCAACTCAATGTATACAAACTCGCAATTTTTGGTCAGATTCAGGCTTTTAGATTTAAGTTTCTCGGACCCTTCAAATTTTCAAGCCTGAGCAGGGGAGGGGGGCAGACCCCCTGGACCTCGCCCCCTCTGGATCCGCGCCTGGAAAGGGTATTTTAGAATTACAACTTATTAGTCCAACTTTTATGACCACAATTGTATCAAATGATAGTTTTCTTCTCAACAGTGTGAATTTGTGACAGATTATTAAAGTCCCGCCACGCCATTTTAAGCAATATGAATGACTTGCAAACTACAATATTGTCAAGATGAATCTCATATTATAAGAATATCAGTCCAAAGATAAAATCCAAATTTTAGTAGATACTTTAATTTTTATTGGCTAAGCACTAAAATCAATCTAATATTATCCAATCAAATTACTAAAATTTGGATTTTATCTTAGTTAAAATTTCGTGAAACAGGCCCCAGTTCAGTATTTACAAAGATATGTGGAATTTAAGTTTCATCGATCTATGCTGCTCTCTGTGCAATAAGCCCGCCTTCAGTTGTCCACGAAAATTGAATGATAGGCCTGTTTGAAATCCGACTGAATCCAGGTCGGGACATTATCTAACGTTGGTATTTTGATTTTGTTCTCTTAATCGAATGTTAAATAATCAATCAGAGTACATATTAGAGTGGATTAAGTCGTGATAAATTTGATATTTTAGCGACAAATGTGGTCCCTTTAGGATCTATGACAGATACATCGTTACTTTAAACATACATTACGCAAGAGCTAAATCTGTCGATTGCAGGTCTTTCTTTGGGCCTGAAATGTTATCTAAATTATTAATTAGACATTAATTAACTTATCCGGACCATAATCAACTCTAGATGGTAATGCTAGCCTGCGATCTTAAGTGGATTGAGAGCTGATTTACTGCAGAACTTTCCTTCTCGATTAAACGATTAAATGGATATTCGAGACTATGCTGTTTACCGTACTGACTTTAGTAATGATGACCGAGGCTAGGCAGAATTTTCATTCGCTTAGTTCTCGGTTCATAGTGGATCAATTTGAATGAAATTTTCAGCAAATTGCCTTTTACGTTATCTAGTTTTCAATTATTATAGTGAGAACTGCCAACTCGTTATCGAATCTCTCATAATGTATCTTTAATTGAAGTACTTCATCAGATCCACCCAATTTAAAGGGCGTATGGCTCTATTTTTTGGAACCTTGAAATAGACAAGAATGGTTCTATAAAAATATATTAATGTAATATGAATGTACGTAAGGTGATTTATATGCAATTTTTGAAAAAAAAGTATTGTAATTTCTCATCAATATGGTTTCGTTGGGGAATGAGATGCTCCAAAGGATGGATATTAAACTGCCCCCCCCCCCATTCTCTCTCTCTCCCTAGTCATAAAACGCTTAACAACTGCTTTTGTAGATATCCCGTTAGTCATTCAAAGAACATTTGACAGCTGAAATTCGAAATAAGAATTGGCCATAGCGCCGCTGTGCGGGACAAAATTTTCCTCACGCTGCTATTCTAGGTAAATCCTATTTCATTTCATTGCATTACCGTTCGGACACCGGTTCGGACAGGTGTGTACACTCTGTTCTAGATTATGACAAATTTAGCTTCATGCTCATCAATTAAATTTCTTTTTTTATTACAAAATCACTGGGAAATTGTCGGAATTTAGGTATCCAGCCAATTATGTTTCTGACTGTACATACCACCTTTCCCAGCACACCTAAAAAAGTAACTGGAATAGAGAAACTTAAAGGAGCTAAATCGCTAATATTTTGGTCCTAGAAATTGGCACAAATGGGTCGCAGCACATATAATAATGCAATATGAATTTATATAAACTGTTTTACATTCAATCGTTTCCGTTTTACTGTGAATTGTCATCAGTTATATTCGACGAAATACGCCAGAAGTCTCAACCGAAAGACGTTTCTAGCGTCTGGTTATTTCAGCTGTCAACACCGATAGTATATATTACGCATGCGCTCCAAATAAGAATATGGCATCACCGTTTGACATGACTTGTGGAATATGTCTAGCCTCATTCTTTGAGCACCTTGTTACAAATGGCGCTGAAACGCATTATGGTACACGATTCGTGTACCAATGGTAGAATGTTTATTTTGTCTTAAATATTGGATATCAGGAACCCATCTTTTCCAGGTAAGACCACAACACCAATGGTGATTTAAATTGCAAAAAAAATCGTGTTTTCAATGTCAAAGGTTTTGGAAGATATTGGGTTACGGCGGACTTAGTGGACTAGGTATAGTGGAAAGTGTCTAGTTTCGGGGTTTTATTATTGAGACCGGACAACCTTGACTAGCAGAAAATTTATTTACAGGGTCCATTTCAAGATAATGGTTTGTGTCACTTCCGTTCAGTGAAGCTCTCCAAGTGAAATACCCACTGCGCACGTCTGCATGTAATAAAACGTGGAACGGGATTACCGATCTAAACTAATCTTCATTTATAAGTTTTATATTTCAAAAAATTTATTTTGAGTAATTTGAAAAGTTCCCTTAAATCCCAGCAACCGGGTTATTAAAAATTGGATGGTATTTAGATAGATCTAAATAGTTTATAATTAACCCAACACGATATCATACGCATGTAGCCTGTAACAGGGTCACATATTTTGACACATGTGTTATCCATATAATTTAATCTGAAGATTCACCAAAATGCATTCATTATAGGGCAAAATATAACGATTTATCTGTGCAAGAACAATTTGTAAATTGGAAAATTTACATTTGCGTGCTCGTGTGTGTCTGGTATAGCGAGTCTCAAAGACGATACGTCATAAATATACCGAAAGTTACTAGAGCATGCGCAGTGTATTTCTGAGATATAGATGTGAATAGATGCTGTGAAATTCATCTCGTCTAAAATTAACTTGGAATATAGAATATTTACTAACAGATGAAAAATATGCTGATAGAATATTAGGTAGGTTTCGTGAATGTATTAACTGGTTATTGTTTTTAAGGGCCTAGAAGTGGGGGTAGCCGACGTGACAGACGATGTATGTTACCATGAGAAACTCCCACTGCCATTCATTCACCGTAGTACGTCTTCAATCCACTCAACGGCAGTCTCCTCCTGTCTCCCGAACTGCTGTCATTCAGAATGTCATTGGCCTAGACGTTGAATGGTAAAAAAGCCAAACAAACTATGCCGTTATAAATATTTATTCCAGGTTGTTGTTGATTTCATATATATTTTTAGATATATATTTTATTTTATATACTGACACTGTGACAGTATTATTTATAAACAAAATAGATGACACTAAATACTACAATAAAGTTGAAACCATTCATGTCAATTATATCATATGGAAATGATAAAAGTATCAATTTTTTTTAAATATAATTTAAATTCAAAACATTTGAAATGTTAAATTTTCAGTGTGAAATCAGACACTCTAAAAAAAATTTGATGCAAAATGATTTTGCGGATATGTGACTAATGACAATATGACCATTAAGTACCGGTAGTGTTTTCATTTGATGTCACTTCAAAATTGCAGTGTTAGATCAGAGTATTCCGGTAGTTTATCAACAAAAATAAATGTGTAATCATTTACTCTGGTTAATATTCATTGGTTAGACTCTATAGATTTTTGACTGGTCTGATACTTGGGTATTTCACCAATTCTTATACTAGATATAATTAGTTGTTTATAAATTACCCACCACACTATTATTGGAGAAATGAAGTCTTATGAAAACCAGACTAATTTGTTGTCATTAATCATCCTTTAATAATGCTCGTGTGCACGCTGTATCATAAAGTCTGTCATTGAGTCAACTGGCGTGGTTTCGAATCCCCGGTTGTACGTGACAAGGAGTAGGGTCACCTTCCAACCTCGTGGGTTTTCTCCGGGTCCTCCGGTTTCCTCCCACTGCTAAAGACCCCTACGCGCAAGCGAATTATTGAAATAAAATTAAACCATATGTTAGTCCCGAAATGACCTAGTTTGTGTCGAGTGGACGTTAAACTCCATTTCTCTCTCTCTTTTTAATAATGCTAATTGTTGAATATGCATATTGATTTATAAATTCTAACAGTTAATGCTCCAGTACTTGCAATATTTTTGATAAATGCACATCATTTCTCTCTCTCTCTGGTTATGCATGTATCTCTAGAACACCACTTTCCGTAAACAAACATCGTATTTGAGAAATGTGGAGTTTTGTAAGATTCAGTTTCAACCCATTGTTGGCAAATTGTTCAAATTTATTGAGAATCATCAAAAAAAATTTGGTTCCTACTGTTGCGTAGTTTAAAATGGTCTGTCTAGATTAGATAATGAGTGTTGGGTTTATAACTGTTTACTTTTACAGGCAGTGTTGAGTAATTAACAAATAACTATAGGATTAAACTAAGGATATATTATTCAAGAGCTAATCTGCCTATTGCAGGTCTTTTAGACCTTAAATGTTATATAAATTATTAATTAGACATTTATTAACATGACAAGACCATAATCAACTCTTGATGCCATTGGATGCTCGAGATTTTAACCAGATTAGAACGGTTCGACCATTTAATGATTTCATTTGAAAATGGGGGAACTAGTCCAAGTCTCGAATATATCAGTACCGTGGTTGTGATAATAAACAATCAGTGCACACATCTTGTCAAAACTTCAAACAATGATAACTTGGCTTAGAATAAAGTAATTGAAATGAAATTTTCAATATAATCATTTTACATTATTTATTTTTGAACTACATATATGCACATGTATTATAGCAAAAACGGTCAGCTCTTTATCTAAATCTTACATAATGTATCTCTTATAAGATTATTCTTTAACAAAGTAAGACTGTGTGTATGGATGCTATGTATTTTAAGGCTTTATTTTAACATATTTTAAATATATAACTTAACAAATGGCAATTGTTGCTTTAAAATCATTATATTGGTGTTGCTGTTGGACTCAGTACCCAGTTTGGCTCACACTTGGTATTCAATTCCTGGGTTGTACGTGACAAGGAGTAGGGTCGCCTGTCAACCTTGTGGGTTTTCTACGGGTCCTCCGGTTTCCTCCTACTGCTAAAGACCCCTCCGTGCAAGCAAATTATTGAAATAAAATTCAACCATGTGTTAGTCCCGAAATGACCTAGTTTGTGTTGAGTGGTTGTTAAACCCCACTCGGTACTTTATTATTTTGGTTACATAAAAGCGATCGTAACTATGACATTTTTGAAGGTGACAGAGTAGAAGTACATGTACATAATATACAATGCTAAATAGACCTAATTAGGCATGAAAATGATAAATAAAATAGAAAAATATGTAAATACATGTACGTAGATGATAAACGCAACACATGATTTATACTAATAATAAAACAATTGGGTTATTGAATGACTGTAGCAAAGTGTTGTTATAAATATAATGAAAAAAGAAATGAAACATCAATCAATTCTCGGCTGTTTGTAAAAAAGGCTTCTTTTGAAAACAGGAAATCAATTAGATACATGTACATAACTCAGTAACTGATGATGCTTTTTTAGCTCTGGTCTCTTGCTAAAAGAACCTACATGTAGCCAAACAAGGCATTTGTGGAAATGTCAAATATGTACATGTAGAACTATATGTACATTTACTATACATGTATATCAGTATTGTGATACGACGTCTGCATATATTTAATTTTTTAATTGTTTCATCCTTAATTTTTGACAATATTGAATGGATGTAAATAGACAGTGTCTATATAATATATATCATATTTATGGTTAACTTTAACAGTGACTGCCTATAATAGAACTGAAAATTAAAACTTTGTTTCAGTGGCAATGGTACTTAAGAATCACTAAGAATAAAGTAATTTCACTGAAATTTTCAGTATTCATATTTCATCATCTATTTTTAAGCTATTAAACAAGAATGGGTACCGGTAGCTCTTTATGTAAATCTTACATAATGTATCTTTAAGGAAATATGAAATGTTACAATATACATTGGAATATATTGAGATATTGCAGTATGGAAATTGGCAGCAATAATTAACCCCAATAGAGATGTACAGACATCGGGATTTACATATATGGAAAAATATTTTACTTTCTAAGGCCATAAGCTACATATTATGCATGACCAACGAGCATATACTGTTTTATGAATATTGAAATTGTCTACGTTATAAAATCGATTTTCGTTTCGTTATCCATTATGTAAACTTATGAAAAATAACCGATGATCTTTTACATCGTGGGGGTCATGGTGGGTAAGATGCTGGCTCGCTAGCCTGGAGGTTGGGTGTTCGATCGCTGCATTGGCCAAAAAAGTTCATCCAGATTTTCCGGCGTGGTTCCCCCTTGTCAGTGATGCAGGACGGAGGGCCTGACAAGGACAGCTGTCTAGTTGTTTGGATGGGACAGAAAACCAAGGTCCTGTGTAAACATAAGAGTAGGCCGTAGTGCCGCTGTCCGGGCAAAATTTCCCTCATAGCACACTGTATGGCGTGTGCCCGTCTTCATTATCCCAGTTCGGAGCAGAACAGTAGGATGTTAAACCCCATTTCATTTCATTTTTATAAAATCGTATGTGATTATGATTTTGAGATATTATTGTATGTGATGTTATCGGCTGGTATTTGGAAGACTGACAAAGGTTTATTATAAACCATGTTGAAGTAGCTAAAGAGTTGTGAAGTGTATGTATAGACTGGTCTATTTTTGTTCTTTCTGGTTTTCATCTGGTTCTTTGTATGTTTTTTTGGTAATTTGTAAGTAGCACAATATTTTTTTTTTGTAACAATATACCCTGCCTTACTTAGAGCCGTGGTTATTTGCATTTTTCCTACACATCTAATTGTTTTCACGGCTTAATCCACGGTAATAAGTACTGAAATATGTTATTTGGCATTTGATTAATAAAACAAAATTTAAAGTAGCTAAGTCTAACTGAATATCGTCCAAAGTCTTCAACATTGAAAACATGAATTATTTGTCAATTTAAATCAACATTAATGTTGTGATCGTACCAGGAAAAGATGGGCTTCTGATATCCAATATTTAAGACGAAATTTTGAACAAGGGACTCAAAGAACGAGGCTAAACATATTCCGCAAGTCATGTCAAACGGTGATGACTGATGCCATATTCTTATCTGGAGAGCATGCGCAATGAATACTATCGGTGTAGACTGGAACGATCAGACGCTAGAGATTGTCATTCGATTGAGGCTTCTGGCGTATTTGTGTTGACTGTATCCTATATATCTTCTGCAGTAGACGCTGAATGTTGATAAATTTTTAATTCATCATATCCTTGTAAATGCTGACTGGAATTAAACTATTTTTGGGCTGATATTCCTCTTAGAGATTCAATCATATCTTTATTTATGATTGACTCTGGTAACTATATGCATTAGATTGAATTCTGTAAATCAGATGAATTTAATTACTGTAGGTGTATGTATAAATTTATCTTAGAAAATAGTCTAGAAAAGATTTTACATGTAGGTGCAAGTGAAGCAGGGTTCAATGTCTTACTTTTGTAGTGGGGGGGGGGGATGGCTGAATGTATCATAAGGTCTGTCATTGATTCAACTGGCGTGGTTTCGATTTCCCGGTTGTACATGACAAGGAGTAGGGTCGCCTGTCCAACCTCGTGGGTTTTCTCCAGGTCCTCCGGTTTCTTCCCACTGCTAAAGGCATATGAAATTGAACCATATGTTAGTCCCGAAATGACCTAGTTTGTGTTGAGTGGACATTAATAGAAATTAAACCCCATTTCTCTTTCTCTTTCTTCCTACTGTTGTAGACAATATCTAATGAAGTCAGGGCTTTAGAAATGGTGTAGGTCCATACATGTACACCATAACATCAATTGTCAGATAAAATGATTGAAAATTACTGAAACCAACAAAGCAAGACAAAGCCATGACAAACAGCAAATTGATTCTGTGCATTTCTTAGGTCTCCCTTT